GGCACCATCCCAGAACCCCTCCTTCATGTGCCAAACCCGTGCCTCCGAAAAGGCCGAGGCGAACTCCCAACGGACCAACGACTTCTCTCGGTGCTTTCCGTTTGGATGTATGCGTGGGAAGCGCCAGCTTACCGCAGCCTCACGGACTGGCGGAAAGGATGGACCCACGCCACGAGCTTTGGCGCTGTCCCCAAAGCTACCATTGGGGACGTCAGCACCTCTCTTGCCCTGCGCATCGAACACGCCAGGGCCTTACTCCTTCCCTTAGCTGGGGCTGCCCTTGACCGACAGAAGTGTTTCGACTACCTCATCACGGACATCTGCCTTAACCTTGCGCTTCACGCGGGGTGCCCCCAAGACATCGTTACTGTCCGCAGAAACTTCTACAGTCGCCACAAACGCTACATCCGCATGAACGGAGCGTACTCTAAGGAATTGGCCAGGACCAACGGTCATCTCCAGGGAAGCTCTTGGTCCCTGGACGACATTAAGCTGCTCATGTGTGTGTGGACCAAGAGACAGCATCGATACGTTCCGCGATCACTCAGCACTACCTTTGTTGACGACAGCAACTCCACTACTCACACCGCGCCTGAGTTGCAGAAATCTCTTGATGAAACCGCCAAGTTTGATCGATTTTCAGGTCAACGCATTCACCCTGGCAAAGTGGCGGGGTGGGCGCTCACCGACGAGCTTCACGCCGCCGTTACCCAGCTCACTCTGGCGGAACGGCCCTTACGCGTGGTCGACTCCTTCAAGCTCGTCGGGAGTTACATCAACGCCGAGGCAGCGCCGGCTCCAGCCGCGCTTAACCTCACGGCCACCGCTGACGCCCGTGTTCGGAGGGCGACTAGTCGCCTGCCGCGCATTGGCAAGCTCCCATCGCCGATGCTTATTAAGGCGCGGCACGCCCGTTCCCTTGCTGCCAGCGTCTGTACCACGGGCACCGACATTCAAGCCCCATCAGGCCCCGTCAAAACTGCCTACAACCATGCCCTTAAGGCGGCTATCCGCCCCAAGGGAAACAAGTGGGTCGAGTTTTGGACTCTCATGGCCGTGTGCGTCCCAGGACACGCCCTGGAGATTGACGCCATCACGCAGCGTGAAGTTTTCCTGTGTCTGCGGCGACAGGTTAATCGCGACGCTACACTCTGCGGTCTCGTCAGGGATCTCCAACACCACGTTCAGACCCTGTTTGGTGGAGGACCTGTCGGACGACTTGTCCAGTCGCTCCAGCAGCTCCGTTGGACCTGGCCCACATTTGGCATCATGTACGACGACTGGGGCTGCCAGATCAGTTGGCTGAACTTACCCCAAAACGCCTTCCTTCACATGCTGCGGGCCTCACAACGCAGAGCCTTTCTGAGGAGGATCAAGCCACGGCGTCACGACCTTGGATACCTTGCCTCTGTCAGACAGGGCCTCGACCTCTTCGCCAGCACGTGGCTCGCCCGAACGAAAGGAGCAGCCAAATGCACTGCCTGGCAGCTGGCGCTCCTCCTGAACTACCTGTCGGGCGGGGACCACACCCAACAGCGACGATCCCGATCAAACACGTCAGCTGACCCCAGCCCCATCTGCCGATACTGCGACGAGGAAGAGGAAACTCAGGAGCACACTGTCCGCGACTGCAAGTGCTGGGCCCGAGAAAGACTCCCTCTCACCACCCTCATCAGTGACGAGCAGTGGGCCCGTCTTCCGCCGCACACAAGACACTGCGGGCTCTTCGATGAAGACCCAGCCCTCCTCGACCTGCAGGCCGACCTCGCGAGGGACCCGCTACCTCAGCCCATACCGCGGCCCCCACCTGAGGGAGATCCTGCGGCTTCAGCCCAGGACTCCTACACCACCTACCTTGACCACGACACTGGTTGGACATGGGTCTACGCTGCCACGGACGGTGCATGCACCAACCAAGCCATCCCATTGCTAGCACGAGCGGGCTACGGCGTCTACTACGGCATCGACTACCGCATGAACTACAGTGCACGCGTTCACGGCATTACGCAGAACGCACAGCTTGCGGAGACCCTCGCCATTGTCCACCTCACGGCATGTGCTGAACGGCCCGTACACGTTTTCGTGGACAACCAGGCGGTGGTCGATGGGTTCCAAAGTATCATCGACGGACACTCACCACCGCAGGGCACGCACGTGGAGCTCTGGGAAAAGATCCACCGATGCGTCATGGCCAAGCCCAACATGTTCCGCGTCGAGAAAATCGCAAGCCACCTGGGAGACATGGGCATCGACCTCGGGCTCATCGGGCCCATCGCGGAGGAGTTCAATCGTCAGGCTGACGCCCTCGCCACAACGGCGGCACGTACTCATAACCTTCCAGACGACATTGTCGAAGCTGCCAAAACACGACATCGCCAAGCGACCGTGCTTCATGGAGTCGCTGTCGCCATCTACGAGCGTAGACACCGCACACTCCCCCTCCCACACCGCAGGGCTGGGTTTACAGCTGCGGAACTCAACAAAATGGAACCAAACCCCCTGCTGTCTGACCAGGCACCACCCGCGGCTGGACCAGACATCCCACAGAACCCGGACGAGCTCTGGGCCGAGGCCCAACGGGCGATATTCGACGAACAGGAGGACGACCCGTTCGGCTTTGGCGGGGGCCTTGACTTCCTAGGCGACGGGCCAGCCAGCGCCAACCTTGCCCCGTCGGGCACCCGCACGTCGCCCTCGACTCCGCCACTGAGAGCGGCATCGCACCCACATGACAACGCCGCTCACCTTCAAGACGCTGACGAACAGGAGGACGACCTGTTCAGCTTCGGTGGGGGATCGGACGATTTGGACGACGGACCAGTCAGCGAAAACCCTGCCCCGTCGGGCAACCTCTCGACGCCTACCGCGACTCCGTCCCCGAGAGCGACATCGCCCCCATACGATGATATCGGCCACCGCCAAGACGCCGACGACGACCTGGGTGACCCCCGCGGACTGAGTGGCATAGACGACGCACCGTCGACACCCCACGCTGCCGACCATGCCGCCCTACCGAGACGCCACCCTTCTACGCGGCCGACCTCAGAGCCCTCGCACGGCATCATGATTGGTCCCACCGCGCAAACCACTCCGCCCCCCCACCAGCGGCAGCCCGCGGGGGCGGCTTCAGCCCCCCCGCAGGGCACTGAACCAGACAGGCCCTCGCGCCCCGTCCACGCTTCCATCGTTGCTGAGCGAGAGGATGCGGCTCTCCCGACCTCTCGGGGCGTGGCCCTAGCGGCTCCAGCCCTGGGGTCGCGTGTTCCCCTCCAGTCACCTTTCAAGGGTGACGGACGACAGCGTACAGGGTGCCGCACTACGCTAGTCCACCATCTGGACAGGCGTACCGAGGACCTCGCCTCTGTCTCGAGGCCCTCGGCCGCTGGCACTGAGCAGCCACCCCTCACCGACCGCGAAACCGAGCTGTCCCAGGCTATGGCTGCTCTCCAGCAGAGGTGCGTTGCTCTCGCCGCGGACCTCGCCGCCGCCCAAGCTCGCCAAGGCCCTCTACTCCAGCGCCTCCACAGCGCCGGGCGAGCCTTCGCCGAGCTGCTCACGCCCTCGCCCGATGGTGCCGTGCCGTCACTCACCATCCAAGCTATGCTGTCATCGTTCCGCGGCGCTCCACCTGGTGCCCCGCGCTAATCTCCTCCTTTTCTGCCTGCCCGTGTGTACGCGTGGCTCCGCGTCCACGGTGTCAGGGCGTGGGGGCGGGGGGTGCCCCGTCACTGCGCGCCGCTTTGCGGCCAAGCGCCCAACTGGCGGTCTGCCAAGCCGCCTAGCCACGTGTCAGCACGTCGCCTTTCTTGTTGGGGCCTCTTTCTTCACGCGGTCTGACAGGTGAGATCATCACCGTCTGTCCGCCGTCTGTAGCGTCTGTCGCACTGCGCCGGGGGAGGGGGTTTTTGTTGCCCGCCCTCGTATCTAAAGGCTGCACCGCCGCAAATAGTGTTTGCGAGTTGTCGCACCGCAGTGCGCCTCGCGGACGGACCCTGGTCCGCCTACTTGTCCGCTCTCTCTCTCTCTCTCTCTCTCTCTCTCTCTCTCTCTCTCTCTCTCTTCTCTCTCTTCTCTCTCTCTTCTCTCTCTCTTCTCTCTCTCTTCTCTCTCTCTCTCTCTCTCTCTCTCCTTCCCTCCCTCCCTCTCTCTCCTCTCTCTCTCTCTCACTATCTCTCTCTGCTCAAGGTGAGCTGCTGAAGCAGAGTTGCTCAAGCAGATGGCTGCTCAGAGAGCAGAACCAGACAATGAGACCTTCGAGAATAAAAAACACACAATTATTTCGATGATGTCTCAAGCGAAATAAGCAATAGTTTGACGGTGTCTCAAGCGAAATAAGCAATAGTTCCAGGATGTCTCAAGCGAAATGCGCAATAGTTTCAGGGTGTTCAGGCGAAAGCAGCAATAGTTTGATGATGTTTCAATCGAAAAAACACAATTATTTCGAGGATGTCTCAAGCGAAATAAGCAATAGTTTGACGGTGTCTCAAGCGAAATAAGCAATAGTTTGTGGATGTCTCAAGCGAGACAAGGGATTTGTCGAGGATGTCTCCAGCGAGATAAGCCATTGTTGAGGATATTTTAATGAAGACTAAACGCAAAGGATGTCTCAAAACGTGCTCGGTTTGGTCTCCTCTTGATCATCTCTTACTTCGAGATTATGCTGAGGTCTGGTGGGCTACTTTGATTATCTTCCCCTGAACCCCGAACTTTATTATCCTCTAGTGTTTATTATCGTGAGCATGGGGTTATGGGCGCGGCGGGGCACGCAGGAACACGGCAGAACACGCAGGTGCACGGCATAACACACTGAACACACTCCGTAGCCATTTCGGCTCAAGGCCATGGAGCACCCGACGACCGCGAGTCGTCCGCGGCGCTCTGAGCGAGAGGGTCTCCGCGCTTTGGGCCAGTTCAATCTTGTTTTGTGCCCCCTGTTTCGTCGGCGCGGGGGCGTGGGCGGGCAGCCTGTGCAGCCTTGGCCATGGCGCGCCCCTCGCGAGGCGGCAGCTGTGGCAAGCGCAGCAGGCCATGCTGGATGTGCAGCTGCGGGGGTTGGAACTGGGACTGGCGCTCCACGTGTCTCAGCTGTGGGTGCGCCGCGTCGCCCTGGGCGCTGGGATCGCCCCCCGCCAAGGCGAAGCCCAAGGCCGACAAGGGCGGCTGGGTGGGCCAGCCTCGGGGGCGCCGAGCCCAGCGGCAGGCCCGCAGCGCAGCCTCGCGTACGGCATCCACCATGTCGCAGACCTCGGCTTCAGCGGCGAGCGGGGCACCCAGCGGCGGTGGCGTCGCGGCGATCGAGAGGCTGCAGGCGACGGTCGAGCGGCTTGAGGCGCTGCAGGCTGGGCCGCCCGACGGCGTCGACAGCTGCTTCACCGACGTCGCGGCCAACCAGTTGGAGGCTAAGAGGGCAGAATTGGCCAGCGCCCAGCGTGAGGCAGCGGAGCGGAAGGCCTCCGCCATGCCGCGGTCTACTCTGCTGCGCAAGGAGGCGAACGCCATCAGCAAGGAAGAGAAGCGGCTCCGCTCAGCCCGCCAGGCCCTTGGGCAGAAGCAGGCGGCGCGGGGCCTCGCGGAAGTCCAGCTCCGGAAGGCCCAGGAGGAGCTCGCGGTGCTCGACGGCCAGGTGGAGGAGGCCAGCAGGGCGCTCCAGGTCCTCGAAGAAGCGGCCCGTGAGGAGGCAGAGGCGCGGCAGCGCCAGCGCGCAGCCGAGTGGGCTGGGGCCGGCCAGGTGCCAGGGCTCCTCACGCAGCTGGACAAGCTGCCAAAAGCCTGGGGCTCCAGCAACTTCGAGGTGGCATGGGCGGCCATTCGCGCCCAGATGGAGGCGGTGCGGGCGCAGCCCGCAGGCCCCCCGTCGGCCCCCAAGCGAGCGCAGTGGGCCGAGTCCTGCCCCGTGGGCGAGATCAGCAGCGACGACGGCGATCTCGCGGGCGGCAGCGGGCCCCGGCAGCCGCAGCCCGCCGCGGAACGAGGCCCAGCGGAGGGGCATGGCAGCGCGCTCGGCGAGTGGCCGCAGGTGTCCCAGGCATGCAAGAGGGAGCTGGTTGCTGAGGCTGCGGACCTGGCCCCTCTGGCTGCTCGTCCTGCTGGCCGCGCAGCTGGGAGTAGCGACGGAGGAGCGCAGCCAGGGCAGACGAGCGCCTAGCGGGGCCAGTGCGGCGGGGCCACAACTGCACGCGTGCAGCAGCGCCGAGGTGGCCCGCTGTGGCAGCAAGCGGCCTCGCGACCTCGGGAGCGAGCCGGCCCCGCCGGCACCAGGCCTGGACTCTGCGGTGGCTCAGGGCTTCCGCTGCGGGCGGGGGGCCCTTGGGGTACACGGAGACGCCAGGAGGCGGAGCCTGGCGGTGACTGAGGCCTCCGTCTGTCGGCACGGAGCCAAGCCCCGTCTGGTGCGGCTCCAGGAGGCCAACGTCGCCCCGCGCCGCCCAGAGGAGGCCATAGGAGCTGCGCGCGGCATGGGGTACACAGTCCTCCTCCACCAGTTTGCGCCCTCGGACGTGGAGGGCCCGCTGGTACGTGCAGGCAGCGTAGTAACCGCGGGTCGCAGCGCCCTGCGGGCAGCGAAGGTAGCATGGCAGGTCCCGAGCGACCTCAAGCACTGCATGATAGAGGTCACTGTGTACACCGCATCAGGCCTGGGGCGGCTGGCCTGCTCGCAGTTGGGCGGCCTGGACCTCCTGGCGGCTCAGGAGGTGCAGCCCCAGCCCCTGGGCGCCCGTGCAGCCGTGACTGTCTTCTTTCCCAAGTCGGATGGAGGAGTTCGACCGATTGTGATCGCCCCGCTGCTCATGCGCATCTGGGGCCGCCCGAGGCAGCCTATCGGCGCGCTGTGGGAGGCGGAGCACGACCGCCGCTTCTTTGGGGGCAAGGTGGACCGCGATCACGAGACGGCAGGCTGGCTGCACAACGCATGTGCCGCTCTTTCGTGTGTGAGTGGGCGTGCCTCCGCCAGCCTCTGCCTGGACATCGCCAAGCTCTACGTGAGCCTTCGGCGCAACTTCCTGTGGCGGTGCGGAGTCGAGCATGGCTTCGGCCTGCGGCTACTTCGAGGTCTGCGCGTGCTCTACCAGAGGCCGCGTACCCCCCGCTTCGTAGGCCTAGCCGCCGAGTCATTCACCTCCCAGCGAGGCAGCGTTGGGCGGGAAGTGGTTCGCCTCCTCCGTGATCCGCTTCTCCCCCTCGGTGCTGCCAAGACCGCCGTCTTCGCCTCGAGGCCCAACGGTGCGCGGCAGCTTGGCGAGTACTGGGAGACGCAGGGCTGGACTTTCTGTAAGACCTTGCAGGCCAGGGGCCTCAGCACGGGCGCCGCCGTCGGGAGGCCAGGAGTGCGCGAGGGCCGAGTGCGAGCTCCTGGAGCCATGAACCGTGCGCGCGGGCTGGGCCGCCTCCGCGCCGCGGGAGTGGAGCAGGACCTGATCCACAAGGCGACCGCAGCGCAGGGGCGCTCCACATGAGCGCGGCGCTAGGGCGGTGCATGCACGGCGCCGAGGCGAGGCGCAGGCGTGACCTTGATCCAGCGGTCATCGCTGTCAGCCAGATGCAGGCGGGCCAGAGGCGGTCAGGCGAGCTGCTGCTCAGAATGATGGCTTGGGGGATGGAGGAGGCTGCGGCAAGGGGCGCTAGTGCCGCCACTTGGGAGCGCGGTGTCTCGCCATCGGCGCAGTGGCGCGGGCCCTGGTGCAGATCGTTCGGTACTTCAAGTTGGAGTGGTGCCTGGTCGCGGATCGAGGCGACGAGCTCGGCCCCATGCCCCTCGAGCATCGAGAGGGCGCGCGGCCGCCGTCCGAGAGTGAGTGTGAGTCAGCATCGGTGAGGCTCGCGCCTGTTGCTCCCTGTTGCGAGTAGGCCCGCGTTGCCCTCTGTGCTCTCTGGGGCTCGGCTTCTTTCGGGAACTGTGTCCCGTTTGGCCCTGCCCGTAATTTGTTGTGCGCGCCACAACGCCTTCGAGGCCCCGTCTTTAACTTTAACTTTAACGCACAGAACACAGAACATACAGGAACACGGCATAACACACAGGAACACAGCAGAACACACAGGAGCGCGGCAGAACACAGGAGCAGGAGGAGCACGGCAGAGTACGGCAGACCAAGCAGAATCATTGCAAACCGCAGAAACACATATGAGCACGGCAGGACAAGCAGGAACGCGGCATAACACACAGGAGCACGACAGTGCACAGGAACACGGCAGAAGACATAGGTGCACGGCATAATTGACGACAGGACGCACAGGAATACGGTAAACACGCAGGATAACGAGGAGCACGGCCGAACACACAGAATACATAGGAGCACGACAGAACTCATTGGTGCATGGCAGAACACAGGAGCGCGGCAGGCCACATAAAACACATAGGAGCACGGCAGGGCAACCAACATAACGGCAACACACACAGGAGCACGGCAGAACACACAGGAACGCGGCAGAGTACATAGGAGCACGGCAGAGCAGGACCATGGCAGAATACACAGGAACACGGCAGAACACTCAGGAGCACAACGAAACACGCACGAACACGGCAGAACACAAAGAACATCTATTCACACAGCCGCACCCACAGGCACACGCACATAGGCACACGCACATAGGCACACGCACATGCACACGCACACACAGACACATACACACACGCACACACACACGCGCACACAGAGAGGCATCATACGTTCACGCAGACCGCAGGAACACGGCAGGGCAGCACGCCATAACACAGGAGTGCCGCAGACCACCCCGCACGGACACACATGCACATATTCCACGCACGCCCGCGCACGCGCAAACGCACGCACGCCACGACAAACTTGCGCAGCGCATACTAAGAACGTAGAAGCCCAGGACACAAGAGAACGCTTCCCGTTCTTGTCGGGTCAGGTTCCTGGCCTTGGTGCGCTTGCCGTTCTGCGGTCGTGGCCAGCAGGGCAAACCATGCGAGCAACTCTTCAGGGTCAGAGTCGATGTTTCAAACGGGGTGTAAACATATCTGTATATATAATTATATATATATATATATTATATATAAATATATATATATATATATATATATATATTAAAAAAATATATATACATATCTACACATCTATGACACTGGCCGCTTGCGTCCGTTGCAGTCGGTTCTGGGGCGGTGTTCTCTCGCTCACGCGCGTGTGTGTGGGTGTGTGTTTTGTGCTGTCAGTATGTGCGCGTGGGTCGACAGGCAGTCATTGTTTGTCCTTGGGTGTCCAATCGAATATTTAGCAGCAGTGTTGAGTATGACCAGCGGAGCGTGACCACGAGGGACGAGACATCCGCAATCAAGCTCAACAGGTCTGAGCTGCGGCTCTGAGGATATGTTCTGGTCTTCTTTCACCTGACGTGGCGGTGCGCTCGTGGCTGTGTCTGGCGGAGGTGAGGAGGTGGATGGCAGAACAGAGATGCTGAAGCTGCACGTGGAGTGGATAGTCCGTGCTTGAAGCTTCGGCGCGTGGTTGCATCCTCTGCGACCCACTGTTCACCGAGCGCCGTACCGTAGTGGTGTAGACTCGAAGGCAGTGGCGCCGCAGACGATTGGCGGGCGGGTCGAGCGCTGCTCCCGAGCCCTGCTCTGCTCCCATATTCCTGGCCTTGGTGCGCTCGCCGCTCTGCGGTGGTGGCCAGCAGGGCAAACCGGCAAACGGTCAGAGTCGATGCTTGAAGCGAGGTGTAAACATATCTATACATATATACATCTATGACATTGGCCGCTTGCGTCCGTTGCAGTCGTTTCTGGGGCGGTGTTCTCTCGCTCACGTGTGTGTGTGTGTGTGTGTGTGTGTTGTGCTGTCAGTCTGTGTGCGTGGGTCGACAGACTGCCATTGCTGGTCCCTGGCTGTCCAATCGAAGCGTTACCAGTTTGCAGTATGACCAGCGGAGCATGGCCACGAGGGACGCGGCATCTGCAATCAAGCTCAACAGGTCTGAGCTGCGGTTCTGAGGATATATTCTGGTCTTCTTTCACCTGACGTGGCGGTGCGCTCATGGCTGCGTCTGGCGGAGGTGAGGAGGTGGAGGGATGCTAGAGTATGTAAGTTGGTTGGGTAGTTCGTGGTTAAAGCTGAATCTGGGCGCGTGGTTGCATCCTCCGCAACCCACGATTCACCGAGTGCCGTACTGAAGTGGTGTAGATTCGTTGCGGTCATATGGAGCTCGCTCGGGGATGCTTAAGAGCCGTCTTGGGCCTCTTGGGGACGTCTTGGGAGCCTTTTGGGCCGTCGTGGGGCCATCTTGGACTTAGGCGATCCTCGGGTGATGATCTTCGGGGCCTCCTTGGCCGTCTTGGGCCTTCGAAAAGCAGTTTTGAAACAAATTCCCAAATGCTTCAATAACCTAACGACCATCAGAATTTGACATCTTCGGCCTTCCTGCAGGACCTGTTGGAGACCCCTCGGGCCGTCTTAGAAGCCGCTTTGGCGTTTCGTGGGTCGTCTTGGGCTCTCTAGAACCATCTGGGAGATCTTGGAAGCATCTTGGGACCGTCTTCGAGGCCATCTTGGGGCTATTCTTGGGCTCTCTTGGGGTAGTCTTGGCCGTCTTGGAGGCATCTTGGAGGCCATCTTGGCACATTTTGCCGCCTTCGAGACCATCAAGGCCGTCTTGGAGATTGGTTTTGTAATCTACGGGCTCTTTGGGTGGCCGGCGGGTTGGTCCGAGACCCCATTGGGATTTTTAAAGCAACCAAGAACCACCAACAATTCAGCACGCCGTGTACCCCTGTGGCAAGCCAACGGGGAGCGGCGGATCGAAGACGCCTACGGCGAATCACCGCGGCCCCTTGCCTTTATGGAAGCGGCTATGTGGCCGAACGTCGAGGCCAGACCTGCCAAGCTATCGGACCATGTGTTCCCCGAATTGGTTTGGAAAGATTTCGGGGAACACGTGGGCATCTTGAAGGTCATCTTGGCCGTCCGGAGGCCATTTTGACCCTTTCGGGCCTTCTTGGAGGACGTCTTGGAAGGCTCTTGGGCCGTCTTGGAGGCCATCTTGAGCGTCTTGGAGGCCTCTTGGGCCGTCTTGGGGGCCTCTTGGGGCCGTCTTGGCCTCTTGGGCGATCTTTGGGGGCACTTGGGCCGTCTCGGGCCGTCGGAAGGCCGAACAAAAGCAAATGCCGCAATCCTTCAAAAACTCATGGGAAGTCGCTGATTTTGGCCTTTTCGGGTCTTCCTGGAGGCCCTCTTGGAGGCCTCGGGCCGTCTTGGGCCATCTCAGGGCCATCTTCGGCCGTCTTGGTGGGCTCCTGGCCCGCCTGACGCCGTCGGAAGCCGTTTGGGGGGCCTCTCTGGGCCGACTTGGGGCCCTCTTGGAATGCTCCAGGGCCGTCTTGGAGGCCATCTTAAGCGTCTTCAAAGCCTCCTGGGGCGTCTTGGGGGCCTCGTGGGGCCTCTTGGGGCCTCTTGGGCTGTTCTGGGGCCATTTTGGAGGCCTCTTGGGCGATCTTTGGGCGATCTTTGGGGGCTCTTGGGCCGTCTCGGGCAGTCGGAAGGCCGAAAAGAAGCAAATGTCAAAACCCTTTAAAAACCTATGGAAAATCAGTGTTTTGGGCCTTTTCTGGCCTTCGTGGAGGCCCTCTTGGAGGCCTCTTGGGCCGTCTTGGGCCAGCTTCGAGCCAACTTCGGCCATCTTGGTGGGTTCCTGGCCCGTCTGACGCCGTCGGGAGCCGTCTTGGGGGCCTCTCTGAACCGGCTTGGGGCCCTCTTGGGGCGCTTCGGGGCCGTCCTGGAGGCCATCTTGGGCGTCTTGGAGGCCTCTTGACCCGTCTTGAGGCCCTCTTGGGGCCGTTTTGGGGGCCCTTGTGCCGTCAAGGGGCCCTCTTGGAGGCCTCTTGGGCGATCTTGGGGCGATCTTGGGGGCCTCTTGGGCCGTCGTGAGCCGTCGGAATGGCGAGAAGAAGCAAATGCCCAAATCCTGCAAAAACCTAAAGAAAAGGCCTCTTCGGATTCTTCTGGAGAGCCTCTTGGAGGCTTGTTGGGTCGTGTTGGGCCGTCTTGGAGGCTTCTCGGGCGACCTTGGAGGTATCTTGGACTCTCTTGGGCCGTCTTCGAGGCCGTCTTGGACCATCTTGGGCGGACTTGGAGGCCATCTCGGACCATCTTGGAGGCCATCTTGGGCCAACGTGGCCATCGTGGAGGCCATCTTGGACCATCTTGGAGGATCTTTTCCGGATTGAGGTCCTTGGCAATCTTTCAGGGTGGGCGGCGGGACGCGCCGGAGACCCACGGGGAGTTCTTTTGGAAAAGGACCAAAACCAAAAACCGAAAGGGTCTGGCACGCCAGGCACCCCTGTGATGAATCAACAGGGGGCGGCGGATCGAACATGCCTACGGCGAATCACCGCCGCCCCCTGCCCTTTCGGAAGCGCCTATGTGGCCGAACGTTGTGGCCAGAGGCCTGCCAAGCTATCGGACCATGTGTTCCCCGAATCGGTTTGGAAAGCTTTCGGGGAACACGTGGGGGAGAATGAACATGAACATGAAGAGGACGAGGAAGAGGCCTCTTGGGCCGTCTTGAGCCGTCGTAATGGCGAGAAGAAACAAATGCCAACTTTCTTGAAACACTTAGGGTAAATGAATGATTTTGGTCTCATCGGGCCCTCCTGGAGGACCTCTTGGAAGCCTCTTTGGCCGTCTTGGAGGCCTCTTGGGGGCTTCTTGGGCCGTCTTGGGCAATATTGACGCCATGTTAGGCCGTCTTGGAGGCATCTTGGGCCGTCTTGGAGGCATCTTGGAGGGCGAAGCTATCGGACCACGTGTTCCCCGAGTCGGTCTGGAAAGCCTTCGGGGAACGCGTGGGGGAGGAAGGGGAAGAGGAGGAGCAGGAGGAGAAAGGAGAAGGGT